GTCTTAACACGTGCACTACGGCGCCGAGGGTCCGAATTAACCTCAGTTCGATGTCGGAGCTCAGAATAGTCTGTAGACGACTTACGTTCCTGGCGGGGTGTTGTGCTCGGTAGAGCAGCGTCGTGCTGCGATCTATTGACACTCAGCTCTACGCCAGGTGATCAACATTGATGGTGGCAAAAATGTTTACATGCAATTCTAATTTTTGTTCTGCCGAGTTGAGTAATGTTAAAACATCAATGTAAGTACGTAGTAATGCAGTCTGGAATAAGACACAGTATTGTACATACGAATGTGAAGTCGTTGGAACGTCATCATCGACGGCAATTGTATATTTCGTGGAGTAGCAAAGGGCAAAGTGCTTGTTTGTTGTGCGTAGAACTGGCAAAGCGACTGTACTCTACAACATAATTTAGATATTTTCTGAATCGAGGAAATTTAATAAAGATATAGAGAAATAACAGATATTAGATCAAAATAAGTTAGTCGGCATATAGTCGACACTAACTTTGAACGCTCGAAGAGTGGGTTTTTTTTTGGGTTTTTCTTATACCTAAGTCCTTCGTCGGCTAACAGTTTTGAGTTTGAGGAGCGCGCGAAATGCCGTAATTTCGTTTTGCTTATTACCATCTTGAAATAAACAATAATATGAATAAATTTAAAAGTAATTCCTGATGGTAAGTTAGGTAAGTGGTTCCTGGAAATAATTTATTCGGTAAAGAATATGTAATATTCTTTATCGAATAAATTTTCGTATGAAATATACATAATAAATTTCTCCTACGAATAGTTGCAAATTTGGAATTAATAAAGATATTTTATGCTTTATAACCATTTATAAATATTTTTCCCAGATTTATTTAGTAATACAGTGGAAATTTATAAGTATTCAAACACAATGTGTATTGGGATTGAAAGAATATCCGCTAACCCAAATCGTCCCGTGGGTGTTTCACCATCTTTAAAGCATCTTCTTAACAACAACTAGATCCAAAGTAAAAAAAAACTGCGGTTGCCAACCCGACTGCCAAAAGTGGAAAGTATGAAAATACCCTACTTTTCAGATTATCCGTGGGGAATCCAGTACGTTCAGTGATGTTCAGTAGTAGACTTTAATAGATTCTAATGAACGTAATTTTAGAAACTGTTAGATCTCGTCAAAACATCGTCATCTACTTATCGGGCAGATCTAAGAATCGTTCTCGTTAAGTGACTGGGTAAGGCCGTAGATTTGCCACTTTTTTAAAAAAAATATTCTCATACTAGATTGCTTATAAAACAACATAGTTAGTAAATTGTAATGAAGGATTTTAATTATAGTCAACCAAATCTAAGAAATACCTTTTGACGTTTCACATTAATCATTCTGCAATAACTTTGCGCAAGCGTACTCACACGATTTAAAATAACCTTTTATATGAATCCGAATAATTATAACATTATCTATACTTTATTACAACGTGTATAGTTTATTATCACTAATTTAAATTCGAATCTTTCAATCAAAGCAAAATATTAAAAAATAACCAGTATCAATTATTTTACTTGACATCGTTTCAATAATATGTCGCTATAAAAGGTTCATAGCGACATATTATTGAAACCGTAGTGTTTGGATTATTAAAATTCATTGTTATGCGAATAATCGCCAAAATATTCAAATATTCGGTAAAAATATTGAAATATTCGAATAATTAATTTTTTAAATATATTATTTGTTTAATTAAATTTTTATTTTTAAGATTCCTTATATTACATCAATTTACACATATTTACACATATACATTACATCAATCATGAATAAAACAAGTTTTTTTTTACTTTGTCAACGTAAATTTGTGTAGGCAAAAAAACTCATATATAAGGCCGCACTGAAAAAACCAATACGTAATTTCGATATTATCATTTCGGGAGCTTAATGTGCGTTACTTTGTGTTTGTCTTCTTATTTTGTGACTCGGCTTTAACTTTTTGAACTGTTTCTTCTATATTCGTTGAAGCACGTGCCCATGTCACAAAGGATGATTGGGCAAAATTGGTAGAAAAATTAGAAGAAAAACTTAGAAAACATAGATTATGGATAACTTTGAAAGAGACATTAATATTGACTGAATTATTGAAAATCAAATGATAATTAATCCAAACTACGACAGCTCAGCTAGTTGTACTGAAAGTTATTGAATAAATTTATTTTTAATCTAGTTTCAATCTTAAATTTTTATAACTGTGCCTCTATAAATAAGCAGTAACAACAAATACGAAGAAACTGATAAATCTTGTGTTTTTATTTATCTGTTTCTTATTTATTCCGGTATTATTCAAATCAAACTGTAAATGATTACCAACTCTAAACAATCGATATCGATTTTTTTAAGAATCTAATATTGTACGTTCCCATTTTTTGTTTGGCACGCTTGGTTCAAAAAGTTTGACAGCTGTCAAAATGTATTTCTTAGATTTGGTTGACTATAGGTTATAAATCTCTTAAACTCTTACACCATATTCGTAAAATTATGTAAGTTGTACACTCAGATAAAATAAAAAAGGAAAAGGTAGATACAGCGCGGCCTTTGTTATGGATTAAGCCAAAAAATTCCGCTCCCTTATATAAACGCACACACATGCATCAAACCACGATCATTTTCGTCAGTACTTCCTGGGGCATTGTGCAGTAAATTTGCCCACAAAATGCCATCGTGTATAATTAAATGATGAAAAAACAATAATACTAAGGTGAACAAAAGTCTGAAGCAATATCGTTCCACAGGTATGGATGTGAGATGAATGAAAAAGTATCGATTAAATAAAAATTGATTTTTCTTTATAATCGATTTCTGCAAAAAAAAAATCGATTTTTTGTATTATTTAAAAGTACATGTTTTTCATATTCCAATAATAAACCTAATAGATTCATATTAACCATTTATCAGGTTTAAAATCAAATAAAATTGAAAACATGAACTAAAAAAATAACCAAATCAAAACTAAAAATCAAAGGCAATATTCCTTTAAAATTTCAAGGTAAAGAATTAGGAAACCAAATAGCATTATTGATTCAAGATTCAATTCCAATTTTAGTACTATTAAATATGGAATGATGAGCATCTTAACAAAATGTCAAACTTATTGTCTCAGAAACTAAAATATAAATCAAATAAATAAAATTGCCATAAATGTCTAGTCCTATTTTGCATTTGACTAGTTTTAAAATAAAATACTTAAAGTGAGAATTAAAAAACTAAACGACCACTCTATAGTCTCAAAAACTAAACTAAAATACAAATCTTTCGTTAATCTTCAAGTTTAAACAGTAAAATAACGATTATCGTCACAAATGTCCAGTTCTATTTTAGATTTGACTTGTATTGAAATAAAATACTTAAAATTATTATTTAAAATCCTAAACAACTACGTTATAGTCTCAATAACTAAAATATAAAACAATCTTTCGTTAATCTTGATGTCTAAACAATAATAAAATTAAAAGAAATTATTGCCACAAATATACAATCCTATTTTATATTTGTTACCTGTAAAACAGCGGGATGTTTTCGTTCTATGTGCTGTTTTAAATTTTGTGGTATTGCTACAAATTTTAATGCTTTCGAATAGTACTTGCATATTGCTGTGGTATTATCCTTCTTCGTTATAAAATACTTTTGCCGGCCGCTTTTATATGTTTTACGGTTACAAGACATTTTTATTGTTTACCAACAACGGCAACGACTTTGTCTCACCCACCACTACACTGAAACTACTTTACACGCCTACATGCATGCCTACAGATGAACTTATACGTATGAACTTAATTCGAGATTTTTCATCCAAGGCATAGATGCGCTGTTTATAAAATTGAAACATACTGCAAGATTTATTCATCCATCGCATAGATACGAACTGTTTCTGAAAATCGATATATACACGTAATTTATATAATTCATTTACTAAAAATCGATTAATATTACTATAAAAATCTACAATAAAAAATCTATTATAAGAAAATAATAATCGATTTAAATAAAAAATTATTTAATACGATTATTTTTAACATCCCTATCCACACGTAAACACTCATAAAACTATATTTTATTTTGTTACCCCTAAACAATTTTGAAGGTAATTCGAAGCACGAATGTCAATGTTCCGAGATTACGTAACGGGAAAATGTTGCCAGTATTTTTTATTTCTAATTATTCAAGATTTGGGTAATTAATTTAAGGTTAAGTTAGAGAAATACATGTAGTCAGCATATTTTTTTAATTATTTACGTGTTATTGTGTTACATCAAATTGAAGTCAAGGTAAATATTTTATTTTTATTTTCTGTTTTAATTCTTGAGTACTTACAAACTGTTTTACTATCAAAAAATATATAATTATTTTTAAGACATGCGTAAACGGTAGCTGCTATAAGACTGAGTTGAAATGAACTAAAATCGCAGCCATCCTCTTGACTTGACTGTCAAGTAGAAGGTAAAGCCACTCAGCATCTTTTGTTCAGCGGCTTGTTTTGAGGCGGCCGTATCAGTGACCTTATAGCTGCCATAGATAATATGTCCGCAAGTGTCGGTAAGTTCAAAAGCAAATAAAATTTTTAGAAATATTAAATTTAGTAAACTATCTGATTACAAAGTCTAAAACAGCATTTAAAGCAACCGAAAAAATTTCAATATCATAAATGCCATGCCTATGTGTACCTACACCTATACGTCCCTGATATATATAGTTATTCAGATTTGCTATCAGGAAGATGGTGCTGCCCATCTCCTGTTTCAATTAACCTGTGTTGCCTCTTATGATACCTACGGGCTGATGTGGGATAGTAGATATTCTTACACCGCTACTATATGGTTAATTTCCTTTATTTCGTTTTATCAAAATTAAATTAAATTTTACAAAAAAAAATGTATTTTATTTCAAAAATAAATAACATTTTCTAAAACACATATTATGTCAGAAAAAATTGTAAAAATATTAAATATTGTGATCGTTACTTTTTTATTCAATTGTTTGCGTATTTTTCCAGGAACTGATTGAGTGATACCGTGTAAACTCCATTAGGGTTGTATTCTTTAGACAATTCTTCCCATTCAACAGGCAGTTGCTCTACAACGGCTTTAATTACTTGGGCAAGTAGCGACTTCTGTTTTTCTGAACATTTAACGCATTCGGTTCGTACCGCCTCTGGTATCAATTCTAAAAGTCAACACAAAATTAGTGGAAATCATAGTTGAGTAAATAATCATCATATTTATTAATATTTTTTATTTATATACATAAATTATTTTACCTAAATACGTTATAACACATAAAATATATTGTGTATATCACGACCCTGACCCTCTTCGTATTCTGCGTATTTTTTTTACATGCTTCATGTTGAGCTGATCACAAACAAATTTACAAAAAGACTTAGAGTGTGTAATCTACTTAGTTAAATAAAAATAGATTTACGAAGATATTTGAAGTCATGAACACGCACTAGAGCAGGCATGGCAGAGTAATTCCTCCATTACACTTTCAGTTGCAACTTGGGGAATAAGTTTATATATTCCCTTACATGGACTTGTTACTTGTTATGTTTAGAAAGTTCTTATGATATCTATATACCTAATTCGGATCAAAAAAAACCTAGATATCCTTTTATTGTAGAAATAAATCGGAGAGATAAAATGGAATGTTTTGATGTATATAATCGATGTCTAAAATGTTTTAAATTTTAAACAAACTATTTAAAATTTAAAACACATCTAATAAAACAAAGTTACTGTTAGAAACAAAAGAAGTTTCTGTCAGTAACATTAAAATTACTGGCTTCTGTTAAACTCAAGTGGTTATTTGCCTGCTATCAATACATAAATAATAATTTTTTTAAATGTTATAATTCTGTCTATCTATCCGGACTAATCTTCGTAATGGCACACTTTAATTACTTGTAATTATGTGAAAAACCTTTAGCAACAGATCCTTTAAAAAGCGTAAGCGTCCAAATTCGACCACTTCAATATTCCGTCAAAATTCAAGAGGTCAAATGTGACCGCAACCACCCACAGCACTTTAACCCATCAATGTTTATGTTTAGAGACTACTTTTCTATGAAGAAGTTTGACATTATAGAATCAATATGAAATTTTCTATCCTCTGGTGGAACAAAAAGTCAGTTAGTTTATGGATATTTATAATCTACGTTCATTTCGTAGGCCATTTTCGTTTGAATGTTAAAGTGTTGATTTTTGGATTTTTCTAGTGTTTCATTAGTGTTTTAGTATAGTGTTTTATGATAAAATTGTAATGAAAGTTTTTGTGTGAATATAATTTATCTTTTCACGTAAATAAATTCGAGTAATATATATATATATATATATATATATATATATATATATATATATATATATATATATATATATATATATATATAGAAAATTAGTAATAACTGTGTTTTTCTGTTATCAAAATACAATAAAATCTTTTTTAATGAAGTAAAACCTGACTCTTGTTTAGACCACAGGATAGAGAATTTTGTACAGGTTGTATGATGCCAAACTTCTTCATAGAAAAGTAGTCTCTAAATATAAGTATTAATGGTTTAAAGTGCTATGGGTGGGTGCAGTCGCATGCAACCGCTCGGGATATGTCAGACGCATGCGACTGCATGGGATTTTTATTGGGATTGAAGGGTTAAATCTAAAAAAAACACCACATTAATGGGTTCTATCAAGGCGAAGTAGCTAGTTCTTAAATAAAAACAAAACAATTTTAAAAATACTTACTTTTAAAATCCTTTCCTTCTGACGTACATTTCTCTTTACCTAGGAAACAATGCGAATATGCTTTAAGCAGTCGTTGGTTTGTTATAACTTCTTTAACGTCAAAGTACTCATATTTGCTGTATAAATCTTCTTCGGGTCTTGCTACAACCACTGCTACAAAGACGGATAAAAGAATTGCAATCTTCATATCTGGAAATCGTAAAAAATATTGGTATCTAGTAGAGAATGGAATTCCGATGAAAGCTATAAGATTCACCCATCGTAACTCCTAGTTCAAAGTCTATTATTATTCTACTAACTATACGATTAAAGTATATATTTTTTGTTAAAGAAGGATAACAAACGAGCAACACAGTCCACCTGATGATAAGTAAATTCTGTGGTACATATAGATATCTACATTTATCCTCAATTAAGAATCAAAATGCAATCCTGAGGACGGGTCTTCGGTTTCTTACACTCACCATACAAAACACAGCAGTATTAAGCTGCTATTTTACTCTGGCATTCTATAAGAGCGTAGTCCTTCCCCGGTTGAGCGGATCCACTCATGCTAAAATCATAATATAGCCGCGATATGACCGTGTCGTGTATAAAATTTTATCGCCTTTCTATCTAGCGAAAATATATGTGTTAAGCGATTAATACATATTAGTTCTATTAAGGTCGTACGTGCTTATGCATACAAAAAAACAACTTGTTTCTTAATTCTTGAAACTCAACGCAATGTTTGGCTAATATGTGACTGTCATAAAAGTTAGTTCGAAAAATTTGAATCGTCAAATTCTTAATTTAGAGAATAACCGCGGGGATAAATTGAGTACGAAATTGGTTGTGATGATTATGTTCTTCTGGATAATTATAACAACGCCTATGTAATGCAGTGATTAAACTAAGATGCAAGGATATTGAAAGTTTACCGTCTGAGTTATTTCAACAAAAAGGAATGACACCACGTATAAAAATGAGGTAAAAAATGAGTTAAGTGCGGCAATGATAAACTTTTCTTTTAATTAAAAGTATATAGGTCGACTTCAAAGAACCAAAACAGATTAAATTACTAAGAAGGCCTCCTACTTTTCACGTTCCTTAAAAACTATTCCATTAATTGTTTAGTTTGTAATTATTAACTCTAAAACGATCATAACCATAACAACACACTGCTACCTCTGACTTCAAATCGAAGAAAATAGTCGATGCGTTGCGTACATTAGAGTGAAGTCGAAACATAACCAAACCATAGTGATTTCTTATATTTACGCGAACACTATACATGATTAAAACTACTTTTACGGATTTTATCGCGTTTATTTTTACTTTTTATTTACTTTTATTTTTAATTCCCGGGACTGAGTCCCCCGTGACCATGGGTGCTGGAAAGCGCCCGAAACGTCGGGAATTAAAAATAAAAGTAAATAAAAAGTAAAAATAAACGGGATAAAATCCGTAAAAGTAGTTTTAATCATAACCAAACCATGCTCAATGTTTTATATGAACACGCACTCACGCACACGTATGCATCTTAAATCATTTGCAACCGACAACATGGTTTACAGAGCACATGCAGTGGACTTTCACGGATTGTGAAAAGAAAGAAAGAAGAAAGATGTGCGTTACTTCTATAATACGCAGCATCGTCTGTGTTTCTTTGTTTGAATTGAATGAATTATTGCTCAACTTGACGGATTAACAACCGGACGGCTATTGCAATTGCTGTTCTGTATAATTTATGTTACGTCATTTTTTAAATGGTAATACTGCAGTCTATTGGGTGTTGTACTAATCCACATTTTTCTTATTCGACTTTTATAATATCCACCAGTAAAACCAATAAAACAGGACGGTGGCATTGTTTGACATTACCTCAGTATTACACCAACTCTACATTATCTCGAATCGTTTGCTTGACTAAGATATACTTATTTCATAAATTAACACTTAAGAGGTTATAAAATAATCACTGCTTACCTAAATGAGTGAAGTACTTGTCTTGAACTGATGAAAAATTATGAAAGTGAAGCTTTATATAATATCAAAACGATTTTAATCCTTGACTTTGAATCTGCGTTGTATGATACATCAGCTTAAGCAAAAAATTTGTTTCGTATAGCAACGAAATTTTAATGAGATTCTGGAAGGTTTCATATAAATTAATTCATAATTGTAATGCTAAATTATGCTAATATTTTAATATAATTGTGTTTTTTAATGCGAAAGGATTGTAATAAATGAAATGAATTTTGTTATATTGATGTCGTACGGAATGTCTGATACAAGCAATCCTCAATGCACCTCTCAAGTATAATAATTATTACACATCATTCATATTACGGGAAAGGTCCATGTATAGCATTAGACTCCTGGGAGAGGAACAGGAAGAAGGGTGTTTTCAGAACAGGCTGTTGTTCTTTTTTATAGGAGACGGGGCAAACAAGCATACGGCTCACCTGATGATACGTGATTACCGCCGCCCATGAACAACTGCAACACCAGAGGAATTTAAGATGCGTTGCCGACCTTTTAAAAAGGAATCGGCTCTTTTCTTGAATGTCCTTAAGTCGGTCCGGAAAAATCTTTGGTGGTAGTTGATTACACAAGGAAGTTGTGCGAGGAAGAAAACTTCTTTTAAAGCGCACAGTGGTGGATCGCCACTCATCCGGATGCGAAAATATGCGGATGGAGTTAGTCTACGAGTATTTGTCTTGAAGTCTTAAGAAACTACTGCATATTCCTCAAACAATAATTTAATTAAATTAGATGAAGATGTTGCAAAGGCTTTTAAAGAATATTTTACCAACATTCCGATCATGACTATAAAGTCACTCAATTCTTCCCCTACTCTCACCGCTTATTACTCAAACAAAATGTAAACGTTTGTGAAAAAATAATTTACATTTCATAAAATATTTTCAGGTGATATTGTAATATATTTCAAAACTATTGATATTAAGAAAACAGCAGGTCTATGGATTTCCGTTAAAGTTATTGTGTCTATAATAGAATCGATCGCACCCCAACTTGCTTTTATTTTCAATGCTAGTATCGAATCAGGTGCGTTTCCTGATTTAATGAAACAGTAATTTTTTTTTAAATCTGGCAGTACGTTGGACTCCACCAATTTTAGACATATTTCTGTACTGCCAACGCTTATTAAAATTTTTGAAAAATTATTCTAGATCAATTGTTAAGTTTTTTTTAATAGCAAATAAATTTCTCCATAAAAATCAGTTTGGTTTTGATGATGAACTGATGCCGGTGTTGAGTTAGTTAAATATATTTTCTGTGCATGGGAGAATTTAGAAGATGCACTGAGTATCGTTCACCATATGACATTAATCAGGAAACTACATCATTATGGTGTAAAAATATAGCGCTTAAACGTATTACGTCATACCTAAATAATAGAACGCAAACAGTTTTTATTGATCGGAGCAGTTCTTCCAGTTCAATAGAATCTATGGGCGTTTTTTTTTTATTATATGCGAGCAGCTATCCAGGTCTAGGTAAAGAGACCAGTATCACTGCGACCTAAAAGATTTATTGTGATCGCTGCAATGGCTATAGTTCACTGCTAAGCCCAATGTGTTTAATGAATCGAAGAAGTTGCTTAGCCGTGAGCAATTTCACTTCTTCTGGGCAGAGTACATAATTTCCCAGATGAGTGTTACGTTTGCGCATTAAGGGTTCGCAATCGGTAAGGATGTGTAGAGGCGTTTCTTCCGTTATGGAACAGAACCGACACATCCTTGAGTTGCTTAGTCCCAGGATGGACATGTGCTTTATAAGACAACAGTGTCCAGTTAGGGCTCTTGCCAGAATGGGCAATTTATTTTTACTTAATCCCAGGGCTTCTGAAGCGAATTTACGATCAAAGGCCCGGATTAAGGTTTTAGAATGTTTTAAGCCTGGTGTGTCAGACCAGATCTTAAGTGATTTATTGTGATAAAGAGTTTCAAGGATCAATCGGGCTAGGCTTCTTGAGATTTCACGAAATGGCTCGGGTCCAAATTGTGTGCACTTTGAGCCCTCCCGTGCAAGTTTGTCGGCAAATTCGTTGCCTACAATACCCTCGTGACCCGGAACCCATCTTAAAACGACCCTGTTGTTACAACCCAGGGCGTTTAAACGGTTCACGCAGTCTCCAACTAGCTTTGAGTTCACTAAGTTTGATCTCAGCGCTAGCAGTGCTGCTTGACTATCAGAGTTTATGTAAATTTTATGGTTGACGTAGTATTTTTGCAGATTGATTTCCGCACATCGAAGTATGGCGAAAATTTCTGACTGGAAGATAGAGGTGTATCTACCCAAAGTATGAACTAAGATTGAATTGGGGCGTTCCACGTAAATTCCAAAGCCTACGTCGAGGTCCATTTTAGACCCATCGGTATACCATACGAGGCTACCGACCTCACAGATAACCTGGCTGAATGCAGCCAGTCAAAGAAGCCAGTCAAAAAATGGTCAAAGAAGACTGGCTGAATGCAGCCAGTCCTATTTGGAGGGTAATTCCACTATATACTTTTTATCAAAAGTGCGTAGTGAACACATGGTATCTGAGATCATGCATAAAACCTGCGATTCCTTAATTGAGTCGAGCATGATTCTTAAGCTGTAGGAGAGCAAGCTCAGAACACCCTGGGCGTTAATCCTATACAAACTAGCCCTCGCCTCCTTGTCTAGATACAGATCAAGGGACGCTAGGCATAGAAGTGCATTAAGAGCCGCTCCAGGCGATGATCGCAAAGCTCCAGTTGCCATTAGGCAGGCAGTCTATTTAGTACTTCCGCAGTCGTCTTTTGGTTGGCCTTGTTACACCAGACAATAGAGGCGTAAGTGAGAATCGGCCTCACTATGCTGCTGTACAGCCATAGGACCATACGGGGACGCAAGCCCCAGTTGTTCCCGACCAAACGACTGCACGTACCTAAAGCAATTTTTGTCTTATGGCATACGTTGTTAAGGTGAGAGTTCCACGTTAGTTTTTGGTCGATTGTTACGTCCAAGTACTTAACTTCCGTGGAAAATGGTACTTCTTTACCATTGAGTTTTGGTTGGACAAATTTGTCCAACCGTCTCTTTTTGGTAAAGGGTATTATAACAGTTTTATTAGCATTAACTGATAAACTGTTATCCCTACACCAGTTATATATGGTGTTTAGGGCTCTTTGTATTATTGAAGATAAAGTACTTTGGCAAAAGCCCCTCGCAATGATCACAAGGTCATCAGCATAACCCAATGTGTCAATGCGTAGGTCTGCCATTTTGCACAATAGTTGTTCAACCGTAAGAGTCCAAAGAAGAGGTGACAAAACACCTCCTTGTGGGCAGCCCCTTGTGGTTGCAACCTCAATCGAAATTTGAAAGAGAGCTATTTTTGACTTTCTGTTTGAGAGCATCGACTTCACCCATCTGATGGTTGTGGGGTCAACATTTTAGATGTTAGGCCCCCAATCAGCAGTGATGTGGGGCTACTGTCGAAGGCGCCCTCAGTATCTAGAAAGGCACAAAGAGTATTTCTTTATCCTCCAGTGCTTTTTCGACCCTGTCAATGACACTGCTCAGGGCTGTTTCCGTAGATTTGCCTCTGCGGTAAGCATGCTGGTTGTAATGTATGGGCCTCGTAGCTAGAGCTACATCCCTTATAATAACCTTTTCCAATGTCTTAAAAAGAAAGGAAGATAGGCTTATAGGTCTAAAGGACTTTGGTAAAGCGTAGGCCTTAGCTATAAATAGAACCTTGACAATTGTCCATCGTTCTGGAATATATCCCCATGCAAAACTTGCTCTGAAGATTTTCACCAGATAAGGAAGAAGGATGTCGATACCCTTCTGTAGTTGGATGGGAATTATTCCATCCTCCCCGTTTGATTTAAATGGTTCAAAGGAGTCAACAGCCCACTGCACCAGGTTTGGCCTTATTATCTTTACAGCCCTACGCCAGTCCTCATTGCAAGGCCTACGTAGGGCTCTGAAAGAGTTCAAGGCTGAAGTCCTGTATGACCCTGGTAAATGGGTTGACGCTAGTAACTCCAATGTTTCTGTTTCACTATTAGTGAAGTTACCATCTGGCTTTTTAAGAAGCCCGATCTGATTAGGTTTAGCTTTCGATAGCATCTTGTGTAGTCTTGCACTGCGAGGCAAAGACTCAACTTCCTCGCATAGCTTCCTCCACGATGCTTTCTTGGCTTTCCTGATTTCATTATTATATTTAGTTAGGTCTGCACTATAAATATCCCACTCTTTGGTTCTCTTAGCCCTATTAGATAGTTTCCTGGTCTTTTCTATAAGGTCTATCAGCTTAGAATTCCACCAAGAAACTTTTCGTGTTGAGGTCTTGGTTTTGACGGGACAACTGTCCTCGAAGGCTTCACGGATACCTACGGTTACTGTCTCCGTCGCTAACTCCAGACCTCCAATTGTTTTGATGCTTTTAGGACACGTTTCCAAATTCCTCCTTAGGCTATCTCTGTAGATATCCCAAGAGGTCGCTTTCGGATCCCTAAAAGTAACGGTTTCAAAGGTTGGTGATGCTTCAATCACAAACTTAATGTGCTTGTGATCAGACATCGAGTTTTCGCTACTAACATGCCAGTCGTTTATCCGCCTGGACATGTTATTGGTAGCAAAGGTTATGTCTAACACTTCTTGCCTAGCACGCGTTACAAACGTTGGTGTACAACCTAAGTTTAGGCTTACCAGGCGGTTGGAGATGAGAAAATCATAAAGTAACTCACCTCTTTCGTTGATGTTGGTGCTTCCCCAGGCTGTGTAGTGAGCATTAGCATCACAACCCACCACAAGTTCGGCGTTGTGTTTTCGGGCGAACTCCGCCACTCGCCCTAACTCGATGGTAGGATCTGCATTCTCGCCGGGAAGATAGGCTGAGCAAATGATTATTCTGGCCCCTGTGCATCCCTTGAGATTTATGAAGGCTGTAACCAGGTCATCATTGCAGTACAGAGTACTGTAGCTAAAAGTTCAATATTTTTATTATAAATTGTACAAGCTCTGGGTCTACTGCCTTTGGTATTGATAAGAATCTTACCGGCAGCCGACAATCCCAGAACTTGACCGTTGGCCACCTAAGGCTCTTGTATAAGGGCGAGGTCAATGTTGTCCTCTGCAAAGCAAACCTCCACCACGGCAGAAGCAGCTGCTGCATGGTGAAGATTTGCTTGGAGGACCCTCGTCCTACCCTTGGGTTTAGCCATTTATGGGCGTGGGGGGGGGGGGGGGGCAGGGGTTTTTTCCGCCTGTTGAGGACGAGTACGTCCTTTGCCTACGAACTTGACCCCAGCCTTACCTTTCGTCGAACCGCTCCCACCTCCCCTCCCCCCAGGCCTGGAAGATACCAGCGGAGGCCGTCGGACCTAGGCGAAATCTGCGCCTTGGGTTTTCGTCACTATCACCGGTGGCGTTCCAGCCTCATCCCGAGAGGTGGAGGGCTGGGGGATTGGGGTTGGGGTTGAGGCGGTTCTGGCTCCATTACCGCGTCAGAGCCTCCCTTGACTTTAAACGTTATCATCCTAAAGCCGAGGATGACTCTGCCGCCTGCCTTCCGAAGAGCCTCCGCCGATGGGTCGTCCAGAGAAAAGGTTACAAGGAACACATTCTCCTCGTCACTACGGTGGTAGATTCTCCAGAGCTCAGTAAGGAGCTCTTCATTTTGTGCCCTCAATAGCACAGCCGCCTCCTCTGGAGAGTCGGCTTCGCTGCGGGGCAAGTAGGTAATGCCCAGCTGAGGCTTAGGCAGTTCGCCCTCGGGTATTACCGAGAGCTCTGCCTCCGGCCAGGGTTTTAGTTTTCCGATTTCACCCACAATCCAGCCCTGACTTGCCTTATTCAGGCGCGTTACCAGAATCCGACCTGGCTTGTGCGTGAAACCCGAAAATTTTGGGCCCATTCCCGGTTTTGACTCACAGGCCGTCTTAGCGATGGCCTGTGTTAGTGCCGGGTGGACCAGCCGCATCTGCTCCACACTCATAGGATTCGAATTGCGAATTTCCTATACGCGCGGAGCCAGCTACGGCACTGAAGCTGAGCTTCTTCTTCTCCGTTGTCAGCTTCATAGTCTTCCTGGGCTGGTCTTTGGGGGACTCTTCCTCAGACCGACTGCGTTTTTTCGCCTACGGAACTGGGGGAGGCTTGGGCAGAGGAATTTCTTCCCAAGGCTTCTGGAGCCTCTTCGGCTCCAATCTCGGCTACTATCAGCCTTCGGTACCTTTTCCTCGCTGCCCCACGCACTGGGGCGCACTGTTGCGGGGTGATGGTGAAGCTAAAAGAGCCTCTTCTAAACCTGCAGCTAATTCAATTAAAGGAGACTTCTCATTATATTTTACAAAATGTCGGTTTTCATCCATTTTGTTCCCACGATTCCCACAATAGCTAGGTAAATAATTGGTCACCCCGGAAGAGTCTCGCATGCCGAGGGAAGGGCTAAAATACTACCAGAATCGCCCTGGTCTCGGGTAGGCACCGTTTGCGACTGGACTCCCTCCAGCCACGCATCCATCGGCATGGTACGCTTGACACCTTGGATTGGGTTAGGAAGGGGGAGGGATAAAAGAAAAGAAAAAGGGGATCAACCGAGTGTTTCTGTTCTGTCTGTTTCCTATTGAACCAGACCAAATAACAGGCGGCAACCACGTGAAGGGGAATTCCTCAAACTTGCCCCGGGGATCAACACGACCTGCGCTCTCCCCCAGAGCTATACGCCAAACTGCTCGCCGGACAAGAGAGCAGAATAGGTGTTAATCTAGTCCTATTTATAATATCAAAAAGTTAAGAGTAGACTAACCCGGCGGGGGGTAGTCTACTCCTAACTTTTGTTGGCCTCTTTCTGTTCTTAGTTTATATTAATTACTTTACTTGGTAGGGACTAACCATAACATAGTTTTAATTGCTGATGATACTTCGTTGATTTACTGACTTAAAAAGCAATTATTGAAATATGACGGAATGAATAATGCTGCATTAAAAGTAGTACACTGGTTTAACGTGAATAATTTGCTTTTGAACGGTAATAAAAGAAAATGTATTAAATTCATCATACCTAATGATAAACAGGTGAAAACCAGTGTGCTTTTAAATAAGGAGGATTTGGTATTAAATACTTCGATGTTAGTATGACCATAGTAAAAACAGAATAGTAGGCTATCTTCTAAGAAATGTGTCAAACGCCGCTAATATGTGTGCGTGCCTGGCAAGTGACAGTTCGGACTCGTACGCAGGAGCCACAGCACGCACACAACGATACTGATTGAATTCGGCCAGACCTTTACTTAACGGCCAATGATGCGCTCCGTAATCACCAGAGATCGGAATTGTGTGTATGAAAATACCTAAACTTTGCAGTGGGATATAATATGGAGCTGTTACAACCACTTTACCACTCCTACTCTTCTACATACCAGCTAAACCAGAATGATGGAGTTACTGTTTATGTAAATACTTCATTAAAAAATAAAGTAAAAGAGATAAAACTGGCACAGGCGTCTTGTACTTAAGTAGATATATCAAATAATATACTCTTATGTATCTATCGCTCGCCATCAAACACTAATATGAATAATTTTTAGCTTCTCTTAGTGCACATTTTGAGACAATATCGATGCCTAAAATATAATAATAGCTGGGGACATAAATATCAATATTAGACCTAAAAATAAGGAGCTTTCTCAAGAATATAAGAATAGAATGAGCTATCTTAACATGTTGGCAGAATTTGAAATACTTCCAGGACATATGCCACCCACAAGGAACCTCAACTGTTTGGATCACTTTATGCTCAAAACACACCGTAAAAAGGATCTGGCTTTCATAGCAATATTACATACCACCATTACAGACCATTTTACTACATTTCTATGCTTATCCAAAATTAAATATAGTCAATTTTCAAATAAAACTAAATCTATACTAGACTACGACAAAACTCGAAAATATCTACAAGAAAGTAACCTGGCTAAGTTATTAGAATGTTATGACCCTAATGTACTCGTATTAACTGACCTTTTTTTGAAAAATGTAGCCAATTCTATAAAAAAAAACAATATTATTACTATTAAAATTCCGAAGAGTAAACGTATCATAAAACCATGGATTACATGGTATTCTTAAGTGCATAAATAATAAAAATAAGTTACAAAAGAACTTAAGATAAGACCCACACAATGAAATTTTAAAAATAACCTACTTAAGATATAGAAATTACTGCAATAATCTAATTAAAAAGCTAAAAAGAAGGTATGAAAGAGAACAACTTGCTAAATCAGTTTCAAATAATAAGCTACTCTGGAAAAATATAAAAAATATAACAAACTCGAACCAATCGAAAAGTCGAAACACCGAATTATTAAATACTAAACCCACCCCTACCGAAGCAGCAAATTTTGTTAATGAGTATTTTGTTAACATTGGTAAACAACTTGCTCAACAAATTAAAGATATTGCCTTGCATGACTCATATAACCTTTCTGACACACTGCCTGCACTGGGAAATTCCTTCACGCTCCTTGACACAGATCATGATGAAGTGGATAGAATCTTGATGAGCCTAAAATCTAATAGTGCTCTTAGTAGGGATATGATTTCAACAAAGTATTTAAAATTTGTAAGATATAAAGTCGTTCCTATTATAACTCACCTTGCCAACATTTGTTTTAATAAGGGGATATTCCCTACCCTGTTAAAACAATCTATTATTATTCCGGTACACAAGAGTGAAGATAGGACAGAAGTGAATAATTATAGGCCCATATCCATATTACATAGTATATCAAAAATTTTAAAAAAGCTTGTTAGTAATCGTTTAGTAATTTTTTTAAATAAATATAATACTTTGTCTCCTTCCCAATTTGGATTTAGAACAGGTAAATCCACAGAAGATGCTGTAACTTCCCTAATCTCGCTAATAATTGAAGAATTGGATAATAAAAATAAATGTTTAACGGTGTTTCTTGATATCAAAAAAGCCTTTGACACCGTCTCTGTCCCTATCCTACTAAATAAATTGGAAAAGGTTGGTATAAGGGATGCACCATTAACTCTTTTTAAAGGCTAGCTCTCTAATAGGAAGCAGAGAGTCAAGTTGGAACAGTACTTAAGTGAAGATG